ACAGAGAGGAATAAAAGCTGACGACTCCGTGGGAGTTGAATCACATTCACTTCACTACCAAACCATTGCTCTCTCCAAACACGCTATACTATCACACATACACTCACACACCAGTCGCTAGATTATAGTCATTCACCACTCTTCTACATTACCCACCCTTTCCCCACACTTTCCCGACTCTACCAAATGGTGCTATCAAACCAAATGTCAGTCATTTCGTACAATTGTATGAACAAACTTTATAATTATTTAATTTATATTATATTCTTTATTATTATTATTATTACATTATTTTTTAATTAATTTGTATATAGCTTTATAATTAAGTATTAAATAATTTTAAAATTAATTATTAACTAATAAATAAAACATTAGAATATAATTCATTAAAATATCTATCTATAAAAATAAATATTACAGATATTGAAATGAGTCGGAATATATTGGATATTATATATAGAGAGTTGGGAAGGGATGTGAGAGATTCCGTCCCAAAAAGTTGGATGCATTGATAGGCCTAATAGAGCAGTAAGTGATGTATGTATTAAACAGGCATTCAATGCTAGCTTCTAAACACTGTGTGAACCATAACATCGATTTGAATGTAAAAGAGTTTGAACTAAAGAGATGTAAATGCGAGAGAATTTTCATTTTATAGACTCTATAATAGGTTTGGTATTACATATGAAAGCATTTCTATAGATATAAAGTGGTTGTGATGTTGTGAGCACTTGATTACACCAACACTTTACTCACGGCATTAATCAATGCCTTCTTAAACATCAAAATGTCTTTTATATAATCTATTATTAATACAAAATATCTTCTATTTTAAAATATTCTAATAAATTACTGGATATATGACAGAAACCTATTAATATTTTATGTCTTACTATCGATTTTTAATATTCTATTCATTCACCTTAAGTGAGCTTTTTATTACTGAATATCATATACTGAATAAAACTTTAATACATAATATTATTGCTTTGATTGAGTACTTATACAGTATATCTAACAAATGTATTTCAATTTCAATGGATAATTTTAAACGTTATTATTCTTTAAAATAATTTTCAATTTTACTCAAATCATCAAGAATTTTATAATTACAGTATTGTCTAAAAGTGTTAAACTACATGTATATTATCATTTATAGTCCCTTATCAAATTAAAGAGTCAATTAATCTTATTACTGAATACAAATTCTGCACATGAAATGTAGCTTGAATTATGTCATTATTTTATAATAAGTTCAACGTTTGTCTCTATTAAATTGAAAATAGCAATTTTAAGTTTTTAAAATAACTTTCTAAACCGGACTCCTTGGAGTCAAACTTTCAAACATTTTTAATATCCTTCAAATGTTTGGCTCATAAAAATAATAACTCATTAGAATCTAAACTATTATGAACAATTTTATATTAATTAATCTACTGTGATGATTTCAATAAATAAGTATATCCGTTCAAAAATCATCAAGGAAACCAAATCAAAGTTTTATTTGAACGTAGCTGCATATAAATAAATAATAATAAATGTAAGTAAAAGTTATTAAAATAGTAGTAATTGTTAAATGAACTCATTTCTGTGTGAATCTGTTAATCTTTATATTCAGGGATATTTAAATTTTAACAACGTTGATAATGTAGATAATAGATTAAAATGTTTATAAAAATATTATCTAGGTTATTACGATAAATATTATGTCTAAAATTATATAAAACTTATCATAAAACATTTTACAAAATACTTTTTCTATAGACAAGCATTTAATGTTAGTACTTAAAAACAACAAATAATTAAAATAAGCATGTTTGAAATATAAACACATTTTATTAAGCAGCATTAAATGCTTTTAAACCCTCATTTATTTAAGTTGACACACAATTGTATTACCATTTAATATAATATTTGAGTATTACAGTATAAATATAATTTATATAAACTTATAGATTTTAATCATTGTGTTAATATTTGATAACTTACCAACAAAATGGTACTATGAACAACTTTTATAATACACTTATTTAATGACTTGCTTTAAAAACTAATCCTTACTTTTAAATTAGAAGTTCTAATGGTTTTATAATTCAATAATTTAATCTATACAAAGTAAAAGTATTTTAAAATATGTTAGTATTTAACATTATATCGATATTAGAAATTAAATACTGTATATACAAAGATTAGTATTGACAGTACAATAGTTCAATTTTGACAAGTTATTAAAATTCATGTTCAAATAATGTTTAAATTATATTCACATTATTAAATTAATATGTTACAGAACAAAATAGTAATAATTACACAATAATATACAAATGTTCATATTCATTAATGCTTGAATGATTATGTAATATGTAATGAAAATATTAGATGAAATATAATTACGTAACACATGAATAATTTATAATTAATAAAATGCTTTATAATTAATTAAAAAACAATTATGCTAAATTGATGAGATAACTTTATTATAAATATAAAATATACATTTATGCGTAACATAAAGATCACTGATCCGATGTACAAAGTATTTCACTTTTTATTTCTATAATAGAATAAAATTTCGTATAATTAATGGCATATCTGTTGATTCTATTAGTATAATACCATATATGCTAAAAGATAATACTAGTAGTATTATATTACCGGTATTAAATTAATATATAATTACTGTTTTGTATATAAATTACCTGAACTATATATATAAAGAATATTTAATCCTTTCATATATTATAGAAAATATATTTGATTATTAATTTTAATGCTTACAATACATTATTATACCGAGTAAATCCTAAGTATGTATTAACTATAACTCATTAATAATTAATTTTATTGACTATAAATTTAATTTGTGGAAAATCCCAAATTTTGATTGAGGATTTTGTAAATTTATTAATAATATAAATATTAAATCATATTTAATAATATAAAATATTTAAGATTTTATAATTAGTTTTGTATTATAAATAATTTCCGTATAATATTTTTAGAGTCTGAACAGTTTTTAAATCCAATGAAATTGTTGCCAATTTTTGTTGAAACAAAGGAATGAATTGTTGAAAAATGATTTTCCATTAAATAATGATATTTTATTTCCTAAACATTTTATGTCTCAAACATTCAACTAAAAGTTTGTTGAAATTTAATAAAACGACTATTAAAGATTTGCAATTGTAATCATGAACGTGTTTCATATGCAACTTTATATCGCAATAACATATCAAATGTACAAGACTATTCATAAGGGACAGTTATATCAATTTTATAAAACAGAATATATTCAGTAATGTTTATAAATAGCAGTTATATTAGCATTAATTTATACAAGTAATGGACATCGTTTATCCATTATACTGTACTGTACAGTATGTTGTATCTATCATCTAATATTTATTATAAATTATATAATATATTTAATAATATTAACTCAATGTTTAAGCAATTGAAACATTACAGAATTACATAATTTTATCTATCGTATATTATTTAAGTATACAATATTCTATATACAGTACAACATTTTGAATAAATTTTTATTATAAAATATAATTTATATAAAATTATTAAAATTATCCTCATTTTTAAATAAGGATAATAATATTTTGTAGAAATAGCCAAATAGCTATATTAATAATAAATAAAATTAATGATATTTATAATTAAATGTGAATAAAGTGACTAATATCATTGATATTAAATCAATATTCTATTTATAAACCAAATCCGATATATAAGTTAGTATTTGAACACTAAAAGTACTAACTATTTAGAATCTAACATTTATATAACCTTTATCATTTACTGAATATAAAGTGCAACTTGTATGTGGAGGTGTTTTTCGAATTGCTATTTAATAGTAGATTTAGGAATAAATCGGAAATTGACTTAATATTTGCAGCACCGGTAGGTAAATAAAAATTAGTTTATTATTTAAGATAAGATAGAATATTATTGATACCAAAAGTGATATTAAATATTAGATAAATGTAATATACTATGAAAATCCTACACTCTTTTTGATGTCTGCCTTAAGTAGTATTTGAAAATAATAAATTTAATTAAGAATTGCTCTAAACATTAAGTTTAAATAATTCAAAAATGACATATTGTTTAATGACAAACAAAAATAAATAAAATCCTGTTTAACGAAACCTAACAGTGAATGGCAACACATTTATATCTGTAGAATATAATGTTTATTTAGTTTGAATGCCGTTGTGTACCTGTGCGCCAGTCATTACAGCAAAATGCAAAGTATTTATTCATTTATATGTAGTTTGAATAGAATGAAATACTCAAGGGAAATTGTCAATATTTTATTCAAAAGCTTTAAAAAGTGATTTCAAATTGAGTCAAACCTATTCACAAAAGGAATGCAAAAATCTTTTACAATATAAATTTTGTACTATAAAATACAATATATAAATTATATATAAAATACTAACTTAGTATTACAGTAAATACTGTATTATTCTTACTTGTTTGCTATAATACAATATTTAAATTGAATAAAATAAAGTTCTAACTGAACAAAACTAACAGTTATTATAACTATTTAAACTGAAATTCTATAATCAATTTGTTATATTACTAAATCAATTTATCAATTTGTTATATATATGAAAATATCGTTGAATTAATGTCTCGCGTGAGTGTCAATCCATGCCGAAGAGGCCATCAGATTGAGACCACAGGTGCCATCACCTCTATATACGCGATAATAACCCTAATGTGAAGACAAATTATTAATTTAAACGATCATCTATTTGATGGAAACAAATCGTACAAACCTTTTCACCCCAACCGGGACCCCAACTATTTTTGATGGTCCAAAAGGGCTGAGTTTTGTGAAGAATCTTAGTCTTGCCGACACCGAAGCCCGTGATGAGGACCCCGTGATCCAGATTCTTAGGATTACACAACCATTTCATGGGATGAGATATGCCTCCGAAGTAGAACTGCATTGCGTTGGCGTTAATGCCGATAGAAATGGGACCAAACTTATGGAGCCATTGCGCTAATGCTGTCTCGTCTTCAGGCAAAACCACATACGAATCAATTGTTGTCTTCGAAAGCGACCGATTGAAAGCACACTTCTCATCCCTACCATCATATGGATAGTCGCTCTCACCCTCTATGCCACCTGTCATTCAAGCAATCAATTGATAGATCTCTCCACAAGACAAGCCATTCAAACCTATGTCGATGACTGTCTTGAAGGCATTGGTGGGAAGGCCTCCATTGCATCCCTGGTCTAGTTTGTCACAATCGACCAGTTCTGCCATACAATCCAATACATCATTACATCAGTCATTCATTCAATGAATTAAGCAATTAGACCACCTTGTTCAGAAAGGGACACCGATTTGTTGTTGACAATCGCAGAGACACCCTCTATATTGCCGGTGGCGCTGAAGGCCCAACAACTCCCTGTCCACACATCAACCGTTATATCATAAACTTAAACAGCAATCAAGTGGTCAAACAAACCGCACATTCCCTGGTTCTTGACGCCAGAGACAACACCGGGACTGTCCTTCCAGTCGAAGTTTGTGGGAAGATCTGTGTAACGGATGTTGTGTCCACTTATATGTCTCATATGAATGGAGTCGTTGTTGTGGAGGTCGGGTCTGAAGCCGGTATAGTGTTGTCTGAACTCCTGAGGCGTGAGATCAGCAAATTGTGTCACTCCATAGACAGCTGTTCCCAACTCATTGTCGTTCAACAGCTTAATTGTCATCAAATTTCTTTCAAACACTTTAAATCTTCGCTCATATTCTGCAACAAATCAAACAAATGATTGCTTGCAGACAATCGGTGGCGCGTCTCATGAGTGGTACCTTTGCTGTCATTTGTGTATTGTTTGCCAAATGTCATCAAAAACTCTTCAAACTCTTGTCTCGAGTACTGAAACCAATGAACAAAACAATAATTATTAGAAATATGAGATCATATGATGGCAAGTGATCCCACATTGGCATTGAGGTGACCATCGATGTGATTGTGAGACACATGGCTATTGTGACACTCAATGTATGAAAGGCTTATAATTGCGAGCAAACCGATGGTGACAGACATGACTGACATGACTGTCCTGTTGTGTTGTGGACACAGACTCACTGCAAGTGATGCCAAATGACATTCATATGAATGACTATTTGAGTGAATAATAAGTTTGTTTTGTTTATACAATCATATGATTACTACTGAAGTGATTGACATCTGTTTGATGCAAACAATGCATTCATTCATACATTGCTTTGTTTACAATACCAGTACCCTGTACATTTTGATACTGTATTAATAGCTTATAATGAGTCTTAAATGTTATATCTAATGTGTTATCCATTAAATAAATGAGTGATAATTATATTATTTGTTTATTGCAGTCAAATCGATATATTTGACTAAAAACTGTTGATTCAACTCAATGTTTGGCTCGTTATATGAAAAGTAAGATAAAAATAATAAAATTAGCAAATTATAGTTTTTGATATTTGTTTGATTTTAACTTTTAATTCATGACAAACTTTTGATTATTTATTTATGCGGTGTGTGTTTGATTATACTGTACTATACACTCTATAGTATACAGTATATGAATTTATTGAAATGGTCTACTAGTCTAATACAGTAATAGACTACTATTAATATCCAAATGTTTTCCCAATGGATTTCAGTTCAGTAAATGTCATTTCAATTTACTGTCATTTGAATTTTAAATTTCAAACTTTTTTATTACACATTTTAGTTAATAAATTTTAATCATTAGACTAAGTAACTTTAAAAACTTTTTTAATTATTTAAAACTTACTTTTACATTATACTTTTAAATAAATATGAATATTTAAACAATATTTGAATATAAAATATATACTTTAAAATAGCTAATTACATCTTATGTGTTCATGAAATAGGTTTGAAATAAAAACAAAATAAAACTTTACTTTTAAAATATAGACATGAAGTCATTTATAAGTACAGTACATATGAAAACTAATATCATATTTATAGGAAGTTATGAAAAATATGTAATTTTATAAAATGTGATTAAATTAGACATATATTGTCTGAAGACATAATCAAAGGCTTATTTAACATAAATTATATTAAATAATGATATCACAGGAGAAGACTATATATAGTTTGTAGGATAAGTTAATCATTAAATCACAGCTAAACTGTAAGCACTGTAAGGATTGCATGATTAGCACTGAAAGCACTTGTACTCTATGTATATGTCTATAGTCTATGACTGCGAGTGTGGTGTTGGCCATCAAACAGGTGGCGGACCATTGGGGAAGTCCAGCATCGGTTGAAATGAATGCAGAAAATTATTCATTAGAAGACAACTGTAGTCCTCGTCAGCGGTGGGCACAAGAGATGCGGCGCCCAATAGTATGAACATAAGCGCCTGAATCGGTATCGACGCCCTCAGTGCTCGACTCATATAGCCTAATATGTTACGCTTCGGCCCTCTATTATATCAATCAAACAATCATTAGTTTAGTCTTAAATTTGGTGTCAACTATTCTGTCACTACTAACCGTTGGGTCCCTTTGTCTTTAGCCAATAGTTCCGGTGATTCACTTCTTAGCTATATATTTGGAAAACAAATACTTGAGAATTGATTCTTATTTTGCAATTCATTTGTACTGGGACATACTTTAATGAGTTTGTCGTTTAACCTTTTAATCTCTTTCTGACAAAATATTCTGACTTTGTTTCGAGAATTCAATTGTTTTGCTTTCGTTGTCTCAATGTTATTCACTTCTGAGAGAATTTCCAGAAATTGGTTCAAACGTATGGACAACAAGTCTTTGTCATCGGTTTCGAGTTGGTTTGTCTCCAGAATTGGTCCAAATCTGGTTCGGATATCATTTAACCAGATATTGTCTTCATTGTCACTCTCGAAACCATTATTTAAATTATCGGATAAATCGGCGTCATAAAGATTTTCGTCAATATTGTGTCCATCCATTGCTTGTAAATCACTACAAATATCCTTTTTGTCTGTATTTTCGTTACTTTTTGACGCAAATTCAATAATGTCTTCATCTGAATCATCCAATTCCTCCAATTCCTCCAATTGATTGTCAATTTCATTGTTTATTTCTTCGCTATTATCGTTGAGATAAATGAATTTATTTTCAGGTTTTGATACTTTGTCAGTGTTTTCTTCAATGTTTAATTCAATTTCACTCAATGTTTGTAAATCATTATCAAATTGATTGTCATTTTGTTCAATATTACAGTCAATCAATGGTTTCTTTGAATCGTCTTTTTCATTCATTTTCTTATATTTTGCTTTTCTTTTATTTGTATCAAATTCATAGATCTCTTCATTCATTATTTCTGTTAATTCGTTATTTGATTTTAAATTATTCGTATCTAAATTCAGTTCAATAGTAGAATCGATAGATTCATTATTAACCCAATTTTCATTTATGGCATATTCTTCATTTGGTTCATTATTTGTAGTGATATTTGAAGTGATTTCTGATGAAGAATTACCAGATTTATTCATTTGTTTCGGTGACAAAATCAACTCATTTGAGTTTATTATATCATTTCCACTAAAACCATTTTCTTTACATTCATCTGATTGTAAGACAATTTTTGGTGACTCTTCAGTTATTTCTTTAATTTTATGGTTTAATGTATTGATATCTAATTTGGTGTTTGAATCTCCATTTGTGGTTATGTTTGTTATGGTTTCTTCTGAGTTATTATCTATTGAAATGATTTGTTTTGGATCAATAGATTCTGTGAAATCTTTGTCATCTAAAGTATGAATTTTGTTTGGATCTGATTTTAAAGAATCTAAAGTAATGATAGAATTGCATTCATTAAAAGAATATTCTGGAATATTAGAATTTTGGATAGAAATGGATTTGTTTGGTATTTCATTCATTGATTCCGTGTTATCAATCAGTTTTATTTCTTCACTCCTATTCACACCTTTCTCTTCGTTAATCTCTTCCACAGAGTTCTTCATCTGTGAGTCTTTTCTATTATTTTTCTTATTTTTTCTCTTTTTCTGTTTTTTAGCCAAATTAACCGTTATTTCACTAATCGGTAAATTTGTCGGCTCTTCATCTTTGTCTTTCCAATTTTCACTATCCTCTCCATTTTTATTCAACAAACTATCGTTGTTTTTATTTAGCAAATTGTCTTCGCTTTCATCCAAAGTATTAATTAAATCAGTAGTTGTCGTATTGTTTAGTATATTAAAGTTTGTGATCATTGAATTATTATTCCAAATAATTGATTCTTCGTTCATTTGGTTTAAATCATTTGAATCAATAGAATTGAATACTTCTTGGTGTTTGTTTTCACTTTCAATGAATTGGTTTTGAAAATTGTCATTTTTAATTGAATTGTCGGTTATATACACGACATTTGGTTCATTAGTCAAACCATGGTCTACAGGAGAGGTCTCATTAGAATCTATTTTTGTATCATTTTTGTGAGAAGTTTCAATAAATTGTGTGTTTATTATTGGCTCTATATCTGGTTCATTTGTATTATTTAACAAAACTTTATCACTGTTTACACGATTTTCCAGTTCATTAGGATTGACACACTCTTCTCGTATCTCTTCAATGATATTATTTTCATTGGATTCCGGGATAAGTAATGTCTCGTCTGTCCAATCATGAGATGTCCTTTTATCGAAATCAATGACTCGTTTATTGTTTCTCATTTTCACTGGAGATTTTGGATTTTGTTTTCCAATGTCTATATTTTCTTGTGATTGCAACTCAATTCTTGACGACTCTTCAGATATATCTTTAATTTCAGAATTAAGTGAAATCTTGTCTAATTCTGTGGTGAAGTCTCCATTTATTGTTATCATTTCATCCGAACTATTATCCGAAGAAATTAGTTGTTTTGAAGATATAATAACTTGATTTGAATCAATAGCTTCTGTTAAATCTTTGTCATCTAAATTATGGATTTTGTTTGGATTTGATTTTAAAGAATCTAATGTAACGATATAATTAATTTCATTTATAGAATATTCTGCATTATTAGAATTTTGAATGGGAATGGATTTGTTTGACATTTCATTCATTGATTCCGTGTTATCAATCAGTTTTATTTCTTCACTCCTATTCACACCTTTCTCTTCGTTAATCTCTTCCATCGTTATCTTCTTTTGCGAGTCTTTTCTGTTCTTTTTCTTATTCTTTCGTTTTCGTTGTTTTTTATCCAAATTATCTGTCGTTTCATTAATCGGCAAATTTTTCTGCTCTTCTTCTTTGCGTTCAAATAATTGTTTTCCATTCTCTGTATTCTCTTCAGTTTTATCCAACAAATTATCTTTGTTTTCATTTACGATATTGTCTTGATTTTCATTGAAGACATGTCCATCAATTAAACGTGTATTTGTGTTATTGTCTGATGTGATGAAAGTTGTGATATTTGTGTTATTATCCGAAATGATTGGTTCTTTAAGAATGAGATTTTCTTCATTTGAATCAATTGGATTCCTTAGATTTTTGTGTTTATTTTGACCCATATTTTCACTTTCATTAAATTCGTTTCCAAAATCGTCCAGTTTAATTGGATTATCAATTAAACACATTATATTTTCACCACTATATGTATTCAAAACATGTTTTGTTGCAGACGTCTCATTGGAATCTATTTTGATATGATGTGTATCAGGAATTTGTGTGTTAATTATTGGCTGTAGTTCTGAATCAGTTGTTTGACTTAACAAAACATTTATTTTATCAGTATTTATATGATTATCCACTTCATTAGGACTGACACTCTTATCCTGTATATCTTCAGGGATATTATTTTCTTTGGATTCCGGGATAAGTAATGTCTCGTCCATCCACTCATGAGATATTCTTTTATCGAAATCAATGACACGTTTATTATTTCTCATTTTCACTTGAGATGTTGGATAATGTTTTCCACTCTCAATATTATTAGAATCAATGTTTGTATGTTCATTAGAGGGTCCGTTTTTAATCACATCTGATACCAAAGAATTTCCTAAATTATATAACTCTTCAGTAGTATTTATTGTATGGTTAGAAAGAATAACAATATTTGATCCAGTACAACTTTCTTCACACTTTGATTCTTGTACATTCAATACATTTTCTTCAATTTCTTTATCAGTGGTTTGAGGCATTAGTGAACTGTTTTCTGTTTCATTCAGATTTGATTCATTTTCTACTAATGAATTGGTATTTGATGTGAAAACTGGTTCATTTGAATCATATGTTTCATTCATTTCATTTATTTTGTTACAAAAGTTAGCCGTCATATCGTATTTGTTATTCAATTTTCGGCCTCCATTTTCAATCAAATCTTTCGCCCGAATCTCATTCACTTCCCTTTCAATGGCCTCTTGTTTTCGTTGCAGTGCTTCCACTCCTTCCAAATTCTTGGCCTCTTCTTCGTTGTCAAGGATTAAAGACTTTTCTTGTATTCGTTGATCCAAATCACATAAATTTCGATTAAATCGATGCACTTCTGCAGCATTTAGTAGTTTATTGCGATAGCAGTCGATAAGGATTTGCAAGTCTTTCCACTTGTCGTTCAGTTGTTGACGGCGTCGGTCGATATGAGTGGACTGGGGTTGCGATTGAGATGTCTGTGTCTGAGAGTGGTGTTGTCGCAGCAGTTTGTCGGCCAAGAGATTGATTTGTTTGAGACGCTTGTCGTCGACCCGCATATCGCTGTCGACGTCATCTAATTTGCGCTGAAGAGCCAAACAGTGCTCAAAGTCTTCTCCAGGTGTTGTCGCAGCAGTTTGTCGGCCAAGAGATTGATTTGTTTGAGACACTTGTCGTCGACCCGCATATCGCTGTCGACGTCATCTAATTTGCGCTGAAGAGCCAAACAGTGCTCAAAGTCTTCTCCCGTGTCGTTATGGCCGACCATTAGCTCCTTCTCTCTGATCCAAGACTCGACTTTCTCGACATTTTGGTTGAACTCAAGCATATCCTGTGCCTCTTCGAGTCCACGACCCCTCTCTTGGGATGAGTCGAGTAATTGATCGATCAGTATTTGATTAGTTGTTTCTGTGGACAAGGATTCTGTGACTAAAGTCGAGTCCAAAGGATTTGTTTCTTTGGACAGGGATTCTGTGATTTTTGGCTTTGAATCCAAAGTTATATCTGCAGAAATAGCTGTCGAGTTCACAGGATTTGTTTCAGTGGACATGGATTCTGTGATTTTTGACTCTGAATGTATATCTGCAGACATTTCTGTCGGGTCTGCAAGAGTTGGTTTTGTTGACATAATTTCTGTGATTACAGTCGAGTCCAAAGGAGTTATTTCTGTGAACAGGGATTCTCTGATATTTGGCTCTGAATCCAAAGTTATATCTGCAGAAATTGCTGTCGAGTCCACAGGAGTTGTTTCAGTGGACAGGGATTCTGTGATTATTGGCTCTGAAGTAAGATCTGCAGCCATTCCTATCGAGTCTTCAAGAGTTGGTTCTGTTGACAGAATTTCTGTGACTAAAGTCGAGTCCAAAGGAGTTGTTTCTGAGGACAAGGATTCTGTGATTTTTACAGTTGAGTCCACAGGAGTTGTTATCGACATTTTGGTTGAACTCAAGCATATCCTGTGCCTCTTCGAGTCCACGACCCCTCTCTTGGGATGAGTCGAGTAATTGATCGATCAGTATTTGATTAGTTGTTTCTGTGGACAAGGATTCTGTGATTATTGGTTCTGAATGTATATCTGCAGATATTTCTGTCGGGTCTGCAAGAGTTGGTTTTGTTGACATAATTTCTGTGATTACAGTCGAGTCCAAAGGAGTTATTTCTGTGAACAGGGATTCTGTGATTTTTACAGTTGAGTCCACAGGAGTTGTTTCAGTGGACACGGATTCTGTGATTATTGGCTTTGAATCCAAAGTTATATCTGCAGAAATAGCTGTCGAGTCCACAGGATTTGTTTCAGTGGACATGGATTCTGTGATTTTTGGCTCTGAATGTATATCTGCAGACATTCCTATCGAGTCTTCAAGAGTTGGTTCTGTTGACAGAATTTCTGTGACTAAAGTCGAGTCCAAAGGAGTTGTTTCTGAGGACAAGGATTCTGTGATTTTTACAGTTGAGTCCACAGGAGTTGTTAATGGATTCTGTGATTATTGGATCTGGATGTATATCTGCAGACATTTCTGTTGAGTCTGAAAGAGTTAGTTTTGTTGACAGAATTTCTGTGATTACAGTCGAGTCCAAAGGAGTTGTTTCAGTGGACATGGATTCTGTGATTTCTACAGTCGAGTCCACAGGAATTGTTTCCGAAGAAAGGGATTCTGTGATTACAGTCGAGTCCAAAGAATTTGTTTCTTTGGACAGGGATTCTGTGATTTTTGGCTCTGAATCCAAAGTTATATCTGCAGAAATAGCTGTCGAGTTCACAGGATTTGTTTCAGTGGACAGGGATTCTGTGATTTCTACAGTCGAGTCCACAGCAGTTGTTTCTGCGGACGGGGATTCTGTGATCATTGCCTTTGAATGTATATCTGCAGAAATTGCTGTCGAGTCCACAGGAGTTGTTTCCGAAGAAAGGGATTCTGTGATTTTTGGCTCTGAATCCAAAGTTATATCTGCAGAAATAGCTGTCGAGTCCAAAGGATTTGTTTCAGTGGACATGGATTCTGTGATTTTTGACTCTGAATGTATATCTGCAGACATTTCTGTCGGGTCTGCAAGAGTTGGTTCTGTGATCATTGATTCTGTGATTAACATAGGCTCTGATGTTTGACGCAATGTCACAAATGTTTCAGAGGATAGGGATTCCGTATTTATCGGCTCTAAATGCAGATCTGCAGCCAACATTCCTATCGAGTCTTCAAGAGTTGGTTCTGTTGACAGAATTTCTGTGACTAAAGTCGAGTCCAAAGGAGTTGTTTCTGAGGACAAGGATTCTGTGATTTTTACAGTTGAGTCCACAGGAGTTGTTTCAGTGGACACGGATTCTGTGATTATTGGCTTTGAATCCAAAGTTATATCTGCAGAAATAGCTGTCGAGTCCACAGGATTTGTTTCAGTGGACATGGATTCTGTGATTTTTGACTCTGAATGTATATCTGCAGACATTTCTGTCGGGTCTGCAAGAGTTGGTTCTGAGGACAAGGATTCTGTGACTAAAGTCGAGTCCAAAGGATTTGTTTCTTTGGACAAGGATTCTGTGATTTTTACAGTTGAGTCCACAGGAGTTGTTTCAGTGGACACGGATTCTGTGATTTTTGGCTTTGAATCCAAAGTTATATCTGCAGAAATAGCTGTCGAGTTCACAGGATTTGTTTCAGTGGACATGGATTCTGTGATCATTGCCTTTGAATGTATATCTGCAGACATTGCTGTCGGGTCCACAGGAATTGTTTCTGAAGAAAGGGATTCTGTGATTTTTACAATTGACTCTTCAGGAGTTGTTTCAGTGGACATGGATTCTGTGATTATTGGTTCTGAATGTATATCTGCAGATATTTCTGTCGGGTCTGCAAGAGTTGGTTCTGTTGACAGAATTTCTGTGATTACAGTCGAGTCCAAAGG